GCCAAAGGACCTGCCCGCCGGATTCAAGTTCAAGGCTGCACTTCACCACGAAGTAGCAGATTGTGCGCCCTCCATAAGTGGGTATAAAAGGCTGGAGGAGATGGTGAGGGCGTACCACATCCCCCAGACCATACTGCTGCGGACGGGCGGGCAGAACGAAAGGGCCTGCACAATGTCACCGACGGGCTGGATACCAGTGTATGCGGACCACTTCGATGCCGGACTGCGGTTTCCTCTGCCCGGCTTGATATTCGATCTGCTCGCAGAATACGAGCTGGCGTTGACGCAACTAACGCCCAACAGCATAAGGTTCATTATTGGCTTTATGCTGTTGTGTGCGCGACTAGAGGTACCAGCCAAAGCGATAGTGTTCAGATCGCTATTCCAGTGCCGGCTGTGTCCGAACTCACAAGGAGCGAGGTGGTACTACCTCTCTGGGAGGGACAAGAGCCAGCTCTTCAAAAATGTGAGGAACAAGGTGGCGAGGTGGAAGAAGCAGTTTATTTTTGTTCGTGACACGCGAACAGAAAGGATAAGCAATGACCTCGCTGCCCGGCTGTCTGAGTGGCGCACACCAAACGCCCACATCAACTACCCCCAGCTACTGCCCCGGGATGTCGATCTGAAGAACCAACTGCTTAAGTATGCGCAGGGGGAGGGTCTCATAGATTTGGAAGCCCTGGTTACCTCGGAGCAGCTCGCCCTGTTCGGGTTTATCGATGTGACAAACCTGTTCAGCGAAGGTATATTTTTATCATGTAACTTATATTCTAGCCGAGCTGAGGCTTATGCATTTTTTTGTGCAGGAGAAATGAGCAGCATCCTAGAGCGCCAACGACAACGTGCCCAAGCCTCGCGAGGTCGCGGGGGTAGCAGCGGGCAACCCAGGCAGACGCGATTTGACGAGCGGCCACCCCCAGCGCCTCAGTCACGTGGCTCGTCACACAGGGGATCCAGCTCGTCGACAAGGCCGTGAGCGGATCACAGGGCTGATGTTGCAGCTCCGGGCGCGCGCAGACTTGCACGCGAGGAGACGGAGAGCGAAGAGGATGAGGTTCCTCTTACTAGGCGCATAAGGAGTGGGGAGACTCAGCCCGCACAGGCGGCTCGCCTTGTGACCGTGCGTTCTCCAAACGCACCGTCAGCGACCGTGCGGGCAGCAGCGGAGCCCGCCTAGGCGCCGTCTTCATCCTCGGGCCCCAGGATTGCTTATCCTGAGGGTTTCAGCTATACGCGGGCGCAGTGCCAGGTCGCCATGGTGCAGGCCATGCACAATTTTGTGCCCCCGACAGATAATCGGCGGGCAAAGGCGTTCGTGCAGCAGCATGGCGGCCAGGTCGCCATGATCAAGTTGATGGATGTAAGCATTCGCTCACACTTCCATAAATGTTTTTTTTTTTTTTGGCGACTGACAGTGACAACTACTTGACAGGCGTTCAATTACACGGTGGCACTGTACGAGAGCGAGCAGGCGGCTCGTACAGAGAACACCGAGCTCGGTTCCAAGTGCAAGCAACTGGCTGCTGAGAAGGCCAGCCTTGTGGACGATGTGAATCGTCTGCAAGGTTCTGAAATGGCAAACCGAGCCG